ATAAAAAAAATAATTATAATCAAACCAACCCACACCCCCCCCCCCCCCCCCCCCCCCACACACACACACACACACAAAAAGTCAGATTGCACAAACTATTTCATTTTTCTAATATATTTAAAATTAAGGACCTTCATTCTCATTACTTTGGAGAGAAGTATGATTGAACAACGGCATATTTTTGTTTATTTTTTATGTTAAATCTCATCATATTTGGTATTCTGAATATTCAAGGTTTTTTGTGAAACCATAAATATTGACTTATTTAATTTGTTTTTGTTATACTGGAGGTTTTGCAAATATTTGTTTGCATACTATAAAATAAGATCCAATTATTGTGAAAGAAGAGGAATATTAGACATTTTGGCAAAGTTGTTTCTGGCAGCCCTAGCAATAATAGTAAGCATGTAAAGAAATAAAAAAAAAAACAAACAAAAAACCCTATGGGCAGTGTTGTCAACATGAACATTGTGCAGATATAGCTGTTATGAACAGAGCTTTAGAATATATTGGACTTTTTTTATTGTTATCCCTCATTTCTCTGCTCCTTTCTCGGTTCTTTCCTTTGTTCAATGTTTCAGCCTTAAACTTCAGCCTCACAGTGAATAGGACTTCAAACAAAGAAAGATGTTGGGTGAAAACACCTCGACGTGCCTACAAACGCAGCGACTACAACTAGTATTGTGCAAATATCACAGCTTTTGAATTTCAGATGACGGCAATTTGCGGTTATGAAAGCCGAGATGCACGCAAACTCTGAACTAGACGTTAGCAGCAGTAACTCATGTTCTTGTTGCCATCAAAGTGCTTTCTAATTTGGTTCTGCTTCTGTCATGGGACTGGGCCTTAAATGGGTGTTTTCATCCAGTATTGTCAGACAGGTTGGTGAAGGCTCACACTTTAGTTTAGGGATCCATGTCAAGCCTTAGTTGTCTGGACGCCTCATGCGGAGGGGCTGCCCAGTTCACAGCAGCAAAAGTAAAGGCAGAGCTCTAAAGCTTTAAGACTTGAATGGATTAGCTAAAGAGAGCTATTGCACAACTGAAGCGCTTATCGACTCAGAGTACAATTTCAGTTTGTGGTTCTGAATTAGCGATACGATGTATACTTTTGTCTTCACAGCTTCTCCCACATGAGCACCAGCGACACATTTTGTGAAACCAATCATAATTTCTCTGAAGTGCCAGCATGAGAGAAGCCTCAGAAGTCCCCGCCTGAGCACCCCGCCTCTTTCCCAACATGAGAAGGAATGAGCAAACTGATGTCTGAACTGTCACCAAGGGCACACCTATTATAACTGGGTGTACTGAAGCTCTACTAAATCGGGGCTGGCGTCACCGCCTGCTGGATCCATAAAGTAGAGTGTGGCAGTGGCGTCCCTGGGCAGGACCGGGGGGCCCGGCGGCCTGGGTCTCGACCGAGGCCTTGGTGGGGCAGGGGGACCCGTGGTGACCACCATGGCCCGGTTCTGGTTTAGCAGGGCTTGGCCCGACGAGCTGTCGGTGGTCACCTCTTTGGGCTGCTCTCTCCGGCAGTGGTTGCTGTTCCACAAGGTTTCCAGCGCCGCCACCAGCAGGGCGAGCAGAAGCCCGGCGGCTAAGATACAAAATACGCCGGCAAAGCTGTGCAGACGCAGCGCTCGTCCTTCTGGCTGTGCGTCTGCGTGGCTCTGCAGGTCACAGCGGCCTTTCTTTGGCCACCATTTTTGTTTCAGGATGTCTAGATCGCCTTTTTCCTGCAGCTCCAAAATCCTGCAGAGAGGGAAAAAAAAACAAACAGATTGGTTTCAGACCCTCTTTGCCTTAGACGCGCGTTTTCATGTTGCGTCGCTGCAGGACAGCAAGCAAATCCATCAGATGCAACGATCGAAATTAAACGCTGGCTGATAAAATTGCTGAAATAGCAGAGCAGATAATTGATAATTAGCAACTTTTTATGGACAAAACATGAAAGAAATGTAGAAAATAATTCTTGGGCAGATCAGAAGAATTACCACACTATTATTATGTAGCAATAATTAAATCGCACAGCTCATTAAATAAATCTAATAAGGAAAAATGCAGCTCCACTAATGGTATCCATTTGCATTGACTGTAAGATCATTAAAAAGCCATAGATGGTAAAGTGCTATTAAACACTGCAGGTTTTAGTTTACAGCAGCAGAGTGCAAAACATAATGATTGATTTTAAACAAGATCTAAAAGCCCAGTTTTTGAGGAAAAAAAAAAAAAAGATGAGGGGGGCATGGAGGCGCCGTTGCATGATAATGAATTCCAACACTTAAATACAGCTACAAACTTACAAACTGTACAGTGAGAGCATAAAAAAATAGAAAGAATAAATTCAGCTGGAGTGCAGCTGAATTTAGATGAGTGGTTTAGTTCAATTGTAATTAGGAAGCCTTTTTAGAAGTGAGTGGTATAAAGACACTGCTAGTTTTCCTATTTATTAAATAAGAACTAGATGTTGCGATAAGATATACTTAACCAGCATCCAGAGTATTTTGTGTCATTTTATGCTACATCATAAATAATGAAAACATAAAATAAAATGTTTGCTTTCAGGTTCAAAACCTTGGTAGAATCAGAGGATAGAAGATCGTACACCTTTACGAGAATTCTGCTACAGGTGCATTTCATTAAATTAGGACGTAATTGAATAGTTCATTTATGAAAGAGATTGAATTAAAAGGTGAAACATATCAGAATACACGTTATTACAGTTAATTTCGTTCATGCCTGACAGCTCATAAAAATTCTGCTTAATTAGAGTTGAGACCATTAGACTTGTTTTTTTCTTAAAGCAGAAATGTGATCTTGTGGTCTTATTTTGGGAAAGAAAACTGATTTTACATCCTCCCCTACCCAACTATGATGGAGGGCTACAAAAGGTCACTGCTATACAAGCTGGCTCTTCAGAGTTGAGTAGTGGGGGTGGGGGGATGGAGAAAGTGCAGATTTTAGAGAGCTGTGAAGCAAAGCAAACGCAACTGTTTAGAAATTCACAAAGCGTGAGCTGCAGCTGGAGTCGGTCCTTCATGGGCAGCCACACACAAACCCGCTACACCTGTCGCCTTCCTTTTGCTAAGCTACTCGCGAGCCAGATACACCGCCAGAAGCATTTTAACAGGGGTCAGGAGAAACGGGACTGAACCACGGTCATCTTTTCATTTCATCTGGAAATCAAGGTTCCCACGGTATGGAGGAAGAATTGAAAGGCACAGAGGCTGGAGGTCCAGTGGTTGCTTTCAATGATCAGTGATGTTTCATTGGGTTTTATCAAGTTTTAAGTGAGCACAGCAGTCTCCGCGTGTAAACTCTACAACAGTTCAGACCCCAGTTTCCCTTTGCCGATGGATTTTTATGAAGTTGCTGATTTCATTTCAGTGCAGGACTGAACGTACCAATAACCGCTTTAATGATCAATGTATTGCCGTGCTTATATGACCACCAAATTAGTGTGATCTAAGCCCAATGAAGAGTCTATCAGGTACTGTCCAAAAGAAGATGCAGCTGTTTAGACCCAAAAAACAGTTGCAAAAATGCAACACGATGAGCTGAAGGCCACCATTGGGTCTTGTTAGTCTAATTCCCTCCATGCTTTGCTGCATTGACAGAATCATGAATGCAAAATACACACCGACCAACTATTGAATATTTCTAACTAATGGTATGTGAATTTACTTTAAATTGAGCATTTTGTATTAAAAATCATTGTATTGTTTCTTTATAGGAGAAAATGACAAAAACCTCACTGTGTATTGAATCTAAATAAAATGAATTACTAATATGAACTTTTTAGATGTGTCGTAATTTATTGAAAGCACCTGTATGTAGGAGATTAGCATTTTAATTATTATTTTTGAAAGATATAATATTTAATTCCATGCTGACGAATAAACACTCATACATAGGAACTAATCATTTCACTGTGCTGAACGGCTTTTATAAGAATTTAATAAATGGATGATTAATTTGTGTTCTTTTGATCTTCTGCCACAAAATGATTGGCTCACACATCTCTAAATGCTTCCAAATGCTGTTCAAGAAGAACAGCTAGCATACATATGCTTAATTTCTACAACTATCTGCCTGAGTGAAGCCATCACATATAATGGAGTCTTTTTTTTTTTTTAGTTCAGTTTTTATTTCACATTCAGTAAAAACAAGAAGATCCTATCCTGCATGGCTGCTAAGTTAGAGTACAAGCACATATGATAAAGCCTTGTGCTTGTTGAACAAAATGACATAATTGAGCCCATACAGAGTTTGCTTTGTCTACAGTGAAATAAATAGGTGATTATACAGGGTTTTATATCCACCTGATCTTAAATGTTAAGGGACATTCAGTTTCTTTTCAATCAGCGATTAAGATCAAATTCCACAGATTAGAGTAACACTGTTGCCCCGATTTAGTATTTGGAAGATCTACCTAAAAATACTATGCAAAATATATTAATGGCAGGTCTAGGAAATCAGATTTTCAGTGTAATATTGGTATTCTATCCACACCTTTCAATGACTCCAGATTGGAGCCATATGTGGCTCAGGTGTTGGAGAGCTTGCCATCATAAAGGAGATTTATTACAATGGTTTCTGATCCCATTCACATCTCATGTTCCTAAACATGAACGTCCTCACATCTTGCCGACTCATTATCTCACCTCAGTCATTAGCAATATGCGATTCATGCCACGCATTTTCTATTTTCCAATTGGTGATAAACAAAATAAGCTACAAATTGTTTATGTCCTCTGCATTTTTTCTTTTTTTTTTCTCTTTTTGCAATATCCCGGTCTTGTTGCTTGTTCAAAGACTTTCCCATCAAGCGTTTCTGTGTTTAATAAATCATATCTAAAATCAGGCATTTTGTTTTGATGGTTAGAGAAAAGCATCCACACAATTTTCTTGGACAACATTTCTGTGCTGTATTTTCAAAATAAATCAAGGTTCACAATGTGTGGACACAAAGTCATGCAAATTAACCGCACGCTGTAATTTCTGTGAAAAACAAAATCACTATTCAATGAAAGTAATTTTGATTGTAGCAGATATTTTAAGCTGCAGTTAAAAAAAATAAGCTAAATTTTAATTAAAATTTGTATCAGCCAATAAAAGGTGATGATTTTATGAGTCATAACTTCAAAAATGCTAAAAGTCTTTTGTTTGAATGATTAAAAAACGCTGCCTTTTCTACCAGACTAATTGTTATTGGATGGATATGGGATGGCGTGAAGCGATTACCAGAGTACATACTTCTGAGAGAAGAGGTCTCTGTACGGACTGCCGTGTTGCAGGGCCATGCCGTAGCCTCTGGTGCTCATGCTGTTTCCTGCTATAGTCAGAGTGCAGTCGTCATCTGTCAGAGCAGCGTACTCCACCACCGCCATGTCCCACAGGAAGGCGTACGACTCCCGCTTTGCCTACACATTTGAAACAGTTTCCACAACACCCACAAAAAAACAAAACAAAAAAAAAACACACAAAAAAAAGCAGGGACACGGTAATTACATTACATTGCTATGAATCATGTTCATAGCAAAGCATCGCAGACGTGGATTCCACTGCTTCAAAAGGCATCGTTTCATTCATTACATAGCATAGTTTAAAGTTGCAGAATGAATTTAGAACAGATTTAAATTTCATTAAAAACGAAATGCAAAACAATACATTGAGTACTAATGACTCAATTAACGTTTTGTATTGGTTCCTACCAGACTGTATTCTACTCGGGCATCGGCAAGGTTGTTTAATTACATCCACCTACCCTCTACTGCCCTTGTCTTGTTTAAAAAAAGATAGAATCATCCTTGTACTTTGTTCTTTCTTGATTCAATTTGCATTGCTTGTTGGGGCAGTGCACCGAGTTGTCTTTAGTAGGAAACACAGTTCAGTCTAAATATTCTAAATGTTTTCTAAAGAACAAAAACAGAGTCTGAGTCAAAGTTGAGCAACAGCCACACTTTTGGATTTCTTAGGATACGGTGTTAAAATGTCTTTTTATTTCCAGATTCTCTGCTGAAAGAATAATGCAAGACACAAAATTGGTTTTTCTAGCCACAGTCAAATTTTAATTCTCTTTTTTGTCAGCTTAGAAATGGCCAGAGTTCAGCCCCACTGGTGCTTCTACGTCTTTACAGGGCTAAAGGTAAACTCACAGTCAATTTGCAAATGCTTAAGTTATTACTGTCAACTAAAAGTCAGAATTAAAACATAAGGAAACATTTGTGTCTTCATGTTACTGTATATGCAATCAAGTCAAGTCAAGCTGTCCAATCATACACAGTCTGCTTTGTTTATATTAGAGATTCAATTGTTTAACTGCTAATGTCTCAGTTATTGAAATATTTGCAGACATTTTCATTATTTTCTTAACATTAGAAACATCTGTTTTGTCATGTTGAGATATTACACGTTACGAAAGCTGCCCTGTTATGTTTATTACCATTTGCATGTCTTAGCAAAGCCCTAGTCCTGATGTAGATATTTTGGGAGCAATTTTTTTAAATTGTAGGTTTAATGGTTGACCACAAGCTGGTTCTCTGGGGTTTAACAGCCACCATTAACTCTCACCTTTCTGATGCCCTCTGATGGACTTGAAACAGAGTTATCAAAGCCATTGTTCTTGTTGACGACCTTCCAGAGCTCAGCAAACGTGCTGTCCTGCTCCAAAGGGTTGGTGCCTTTAGCATGGAAATATTCGTACACAGCTGAGTCTCGCACTGTCCCATAGGCAAGGTCCGCTTGTTTGGAAAGGTCCTGGAACGACCTTATTTAGGGACAAAAAAGAAAAGTATTAAAGCAACAATAGGTTTCTCTAAATAGTATTTCCATGTATCAACACGTAGTTGTGTGTTGGCACAATGTTGGTTGTCCTTTTTAACCTAACCCTCTAACCCTACCCTAATGATTGCTTTCATCAATTATTTCATATTTAAACACATTTGTCAAGTTTAAAACTTTGCAACTCCACAATTTTTAGTGACTTTTAAACACTTTTAAAAACTTTACTCAGATTCTCATTCCAACCAGCAGTGTTTTTTTTAAAAAGGCTCAGCTTTGCAGTTTCCAAACTCAAGCAAAGCTCTTTTATAAAACACTGATAATAATAGAAAAAAAAAGTTTCAGACTTTCCAAACTAAATCAGTGATGACAGATAATAGGCATCACTTTAAGTCTTTAAGTTAACAGTAAAAGTGGACTCTGTGTTCTGGGAACATTTATATCACTATCACTTAATAGATTTAACTTGGCATTATGACCTCTGACCCCAAAGCGCTTCACACTACATTCAGTCATTCACTCTTTCATGCACACACATTTACATGCTGATGGCTACTTTGTAGCCTCAGCTGCCCTGAAGCAGACTGTCAGAAGTGAGGCTGTCCTGCGCTGGTGCCACCTGACCTTCTGACCACCAAGGACACAACGACCAACACGGACAGAGCGGGGGTTTGAACTGGCAACCCGCCCAATAATTGCTCCATTATTTCCTATATTGGCTCAAATGAGTTTGAATGAGAAATAAACAGAAAAATGCTACTCTGTCCAGATTACAGCTCCTTTTTTTTTTTTTTACTCTATATGGGGGGGGTCTTAAAAAAACAAAACAAAAAAACACTGTGCATGTTTCTAATTTTTACTTAGATGTTAGATGATCATTGTTGGGAATACACAGTTAGCCATGATTTTACTTTAAACCTGTTTACTTCATAAATAATTTAGCAACACTGGTTAAAGAAAGTAAAAACAATAAATCTGGATTTGGAGTCATAAATTAGGCTAACACACATGCAGCTAATAGACAACGATCAGAACAATCCAAGGTTCTCCTTTAGAGTTGTGGCAAAATCGACTCAAAGCCTTAACTCATTTGAAGACAAAGTATTCCTTCTGGGCTTAGCTGTAAAGATTTTATGGAGTTCTTCGCTCATAAAATTTACTAATTGGGAAGAATGTTTCCCTCTGCACTGTTTGTGCAGTTCTTATTCCTGACACATGCCTCCTGAAAATTGTCAAAATCCTTAACTCCTCTCTAAAATATTTTATTCCCCTTGATATTGCAGAATTCATATCCATTAGTAGAGCCACTACAGCTACTCTGTTTTTCACCCCCTATTCTAATCAAAAAATGTTTTTCAGTGTATTTATGCTGTTGTTCATTGGTTTTGGTTTTGATCAAGTAGTTCTTCTAAAGTATCACTATTTTGGAAGAAGAATGAAATATGAGACTGATATTACCCAGTTGTACATGTCAATGAAACCAGTTGAGACTGAGGTTACAAATTTGTCTTTGACATTGAGTGGATGAACATTTCAGTTTGAATTTCAACAGTAAAAGCATTGAATTCGTTTTTGGTTTTCTAAGCCAAATGTACCAACACTTCTTACCCAATTTCTTGTACCTCTGCCTAAAATCAGTTAATTGTATCTGATTTACTGCATCATCTTGCGCTGTATCCTTGACTCTGAAAAATATTCTTCTCACTACACACTCACTGGAAATGTCTCTCTGCATCCGTGTCGTCTAGAAGAATGAGAGCGGCAGAAGCAGTGTGTTTGCAGAGTTCCTGTACCATCTGTCCCTCAGCTGATGACGGTTCAAACTTCACAACCTCTCCCAATAAAACAGCTGCCAACCTCAAAGGAAGATTGCACTCTGCCTGACCTCCATTTACATCTTTGAAGTTTTTGAAAGTGAAGCTCCGAGAGAGGGGCGAATGCCAAAACAGAGCCATTACATTTTAAATCTTCTGAAATAAGTCGGAGTGCATCCGGAAAATAAGGGCACCGATTCACTTTTTCCAAAATTTTATGTTGCAGCCTTATTCCAAATTGTATTTAAATTAAACAACCAATTAATCAAACTTCACGACAATGTGGAAATGTTCTTTGTGTTTTGAACGAAAGGATTAGAAATAGAAAACCGGTTGCCGCTGTGGCGCAGGGGTAGAGCGTGCGACTAGTGTTAAAAGTGCAACTGTGTAATGCTGCCATGCTCATGTGTGCAAAAAAAGGTTTCAGGAAAATGTTTCATGTGTTGTTGGTAAAATGCTATAATACCTCATGTAATACCTCATAATTGCAAATTTTATATAAAAAAAAGTGGCTTGGTTAGCTAAAATTTGTGAGCTATAAAGTGCTAAAGCCCTGTGCTTTTTCCCCCCCATACAGCAAACCACTATAATCATCTCCAATAGAAATGTTTTCCCTGGGGAAACTATAATTATCTTTAATGTAAACACACATCGCAGATACATCCTTTCTTGTTGAATTTTGAGTGGTTGCTTGAAATACCTGAAAGGACTGACGATCTGGAAAATATGGGTTATGATTTCTATGGAAAGTCACACTGAAATTATGCAAGAAACCTGTTCAGTGTGTTTATCCATCCATCCATTTTCTTTACACCCTTGTCCCTTAGTGGGGTCGGTAGGGTTGCTGGTGCCTATCTCCAGCTAACGTTCCGGGCGGGAGGCGGGGTACACCCTGGACAGGTCGCCAGTCTGTCGCAGGGCAACACAGAGACAAACAACCATGCGCACACACACACACACACCTAGGGGCAATTTGGAGAGTCCAATTAACCTGACATGTTTTTGGACTGTGGGAGGAAACCAGAGTACCCGGAGAAAACCCACGCATGCACAGGGAGAACATGCAAACTCCATGCAGAAAGACCAGGGCCAGGAATTGAACCCAGAAACTTCTTGCTGCAAGGCAACAGCTCTACCAACTGCGCCACTGTGAAGCCCTGTTCAGTGTGTTTAGTCAAATATAATTTAATAATCACTCTAGATGAAAGAAAGGTTAGCTCTTGATAATTCTTTATAAGTGAATAAAGTCTAGAATGCAGCGTCTCTCCCTGCTCAAATATTTTCAAGGACGCATTTTAAAGGTGTCCTTTAAAACGTATGAATCATACCACAGGAATAGTCTCCCACAGATGCCATTTTAAAAACAGCTGCTCTCATGTGTTGTCACAGGTGAGCTATGTGCTGCTTAGCATTCGCTCAGTCTGCTGACATGTCCCCATGTGGCTGTTTGTTCAACACTAGACAGAACCAATGCAATCAAATGTCTTTCTGTCCATTCTTTAGAGAGAGAGAGCGAGAAGGACATCAGAACAAATAACATTTAGACCGAGAAACGGTCGGTTGTTATGCAGCAGGTCAAAAATTAAAGGAGCTTTATAGAAAAAGAAGCTGATCCCAGTAGATGAATCTTTAACCAAGGCTGTTGCATGTGTACCACAAGCTCAAGTATTGAAAATATGAAAAAATAAAGAAATGCAGTGGAGCTGAGAAAAAAAGTCAATTTGTACACCATATGTACCCAGTCGATAACACATCTCTAGAGATATGCAGAGATACAACCTCTCATGATCGCCAAGTTTGAGTGAAATTCCCCACTGTTCGGAAACAAAATATTTTCAAACAGTGTGACAGAAAAAAACAAAAAGACGTTTTACCTGACTGCATTGTCCATGCGTGACACAGTGAGGTAGGCGGCCAGGTTCGCTGTGTAGGACGAACACACGATGAGGGTGAAAAGCCACCAGCTGCCCATGACGATACGCAGAGCCACTGAGCCCAGAATTGAGTCGCTGCCTGCAGGGTTGAGATGAAAGTGGTTTACAAATGCATATCCCATAGAAATGCATATCCCATTTTTACAGATTTTAAACAGGGCGATAAAACATCCCCTCCAGCAGCAGTAGAAGATATTGCCTTTTTTTTCCTCCGAATTAAGGGTTGGATATAACTATCAATATGAAAACTCCTCAAAGTCTTCACAACTCAGACATAAAGACATCAAGTTTATTATTTGAAACATGAAACAATGGTAATAAACCATTTCGAAGCAATGATCTTCAACTAATCCAAAGATTGCTTTTCTATTGACTGACAGAACCAACCACATGGGCTGAAATGGCTCCAATATCTGATTTGGAGTAAATGTCGGCACTGAACCAAGACACCAGATGTGAAATGGAAGTGAACAAAAAAAACCTTAAATACGGCCCAAACTGTACTTCATCGTTATCGAGGGTCTTGAAGTCTGATTTATTTCAACTTATCTGTTGTGATGGTGGCAGGGAAATATAGATTTTACAGCTTCAATATGTAGTGGATTGTTTTCTGCATTTTTTTTTATTGGCGTTCTATTGGACTCTAGTGTGCTCAGATTTTTAAATGGTTTTCTCATTGGTGGTCACATTTGTACAGGTACATATCTTTAAATTAAAATATTGTTGAAACGTTTGAGCAGTTTAATTCAATTGGTGGAACTCAAATTGTTAACACACAGATTGATACTGCAAGCGTTTTTTTTTTTTTGTTTGTTTTTTTCCCTGTTAACTATGTTCACGATTTTGTCTTGACGAGACTCCATGGATTATCCGAGGGTTAGATCTGGTCATTTCTCTGGATAATGAAGCTCAGTTATGCCATCGTCATTGGACAAAGTATTGGTACTTTTGGTCAAGTTCTTCTGGATAAGGTAAAGAAGTGTCTCCATAAAAGCTGTCAGCAGAGAGAGGCATGTCGGCATTTCCTGTGCTGACTTTGAGTTGATAAAACACGGTGGACCAACACAAACGGATAACATAGCCCCCTAAATCATCACTGACTGTGGAAACTGCTCATTCAAACTCAAACAACTTGGATTCTGTGACTCCAGAATCTGCTACCTTGATTTTAAAAAAACAGATGACTAAATTCACTTTAGACCAATGGCCTGTGCCAGTGGTAGTCCGGGTCCAGGACACGTCTCTGTGTGGTTGCTCTTTAAGCATCGACAGTCCATGCCTTGTGAGTCTTTTCCAAACTTTTGAATGGGGTGGACCTCCCTATCCTCAACCTGGCAGCTTTCCTTATTGCTATTGAACTTTTTTCAGTTCACATTTTTCCTTCCACTCATCTTTCCACTAACATCCAGCTTGAGGTTTTCAGCTTTTGTAGCCCAGATGGTACTCTATGTTTGGAAGGCATTCAGGACAACCTGCAGTCTCAAGATTGTTTGAACCACGGCATAGCATCTCTGTGTTTGGAGGAAAATATTTACTTATTGGTCCTCCTACATATGAATGAAATTTCTGACAAATCACATTTGTTTTTTTTTTGTTTTTTTAATTATTATTTTATACCATAACCATGAAAACTGACAGGAAAGACACAGATCATTGTAATTAAACAGAACTTAAGTTCAACTGATTTACTCAAAAGACCATTGAAAAGTTACTTTCAATGGATTTCACATGCAACTGGCTTATGTGTAAATATTGTAACTCCACTTTATGTAGCAACTATAGCATTGCTCATTTTTCTTAATATCTTAAAATTTCTAAGCCTTCTTTCTCTCTTTATGTCAGATAAAGAAGCCTCATGTGTTCCAGTAACGTTGCTGTTGAGTTTTAGTAGTAGTCGCCCGTTGTCTGCAAAGGCATAAAAGAAAAACGGGTTTAGAAATGTATGAGGAAAAATGTCATCTTGAATCCTTATCCTAAAACGGAAAGCCATGGAAAATGTCATCTGAAAGTTTCAAGAATATGAAAAGTGATGAAAACATATTTGTCTGAAAGTGTCACAATCGGCACAGCTGAACCCTCAGGAAAGCTTGAAGGGAAAAAAAACAAAAAAACGAAAGGTCTTGTCAGATGTATCATACTATGGCATCAATCATTTTTATTACACATGGCTCCGAGTTTGTTTTTATTAAGGTTTCTGAATGTGAATTGTCCATGTGCAGATTTAATTGGCTCTAAGCATGCTCCTCAGTGGGACACGCTTTCATTTATGAAATAAACTGATTAAACACTTTAGATAATAATAAAAAAAAAGGTTTCATATCCGTTTGGTCCCTGGGATGCTTTGGATTATATCCTACCTCTGAATGACCCCCATATGGAACAAAAGAACAGTTCCTACGTGGAAAAAAAAAACAAACAAACTGCAGTGACACTCGGTATCTGGGGGTGAACACACAACATAAGCCAGCTAAGTGCCAGCATACCATTATGGACTTCTCAGAATATTAGGATGCCATGTTTCAACTACCAACAATGGCACACTAAGCATCAGCAGTCAGATCCATATCAACGCGTCTTACATCAGCCCCCTAGCTCCTTCAACAAAAAAAAAGCAACAAAAAAAAAGCACTTGAATCAAAAAGTGGCACCGCTGGAACATGAGTCAGAAATGAGAATGTGAAAACGAAGGCAGATAAAAAGGCATGAATTTGGCTTCTTTTAAAATATAGTGGGTGTTGGGTTAAAAAAGGTTCACAGGCACTACGCCAGACTTTGATGGATGCAGTCTGAGCTTTAAAATCGGTCATTTGTTGCGACCAGACGTACCTGGACCGACACCGGATGTAACGATGGGGTGTCCTCCTGCAGAAAGGCACCTTCAAAAATGCTAAGGTGGGCATTTTGCCTGAAATTTTCCATCTACTGATTCAGCATTTGTTGCATGGTGACATCCGCATACGTCTTCCTGTTTATTGTAAGTTATTATACCTTAGTAGTTATGACAGCAGCCGGCAGGGACTCTGCGTGTGTAATGTCAGAGATCAGCTTCTCTGTATTAAAAAAAAAAAAACAGTAAAAATTTTCCTGATTGGCTTAGAAATGCGCAGTTGAATGAAAATGTTTGTTGTTAAATGCTAAAATACTCTTCACATGTTCATCTGCCTTGTTGACCTAAGGTGTTGCATTTATATGCACTGTTAAACAGTGAATCTTTATGAATAGACTTTGATCTGGAAGGAATAAAGGTTATTTTTATTTAAATTATAAGAATACCTATTGATAAGTGAAGCGTAGAATAAAATAACCCTACTAAGTTTAGATTATCTTAGAGTAAAACTATAAAAAAATTATACTTTCACCATTTAATAAGATAAATTTTTGGATTAATGTGTTTACTTGTAAAACAGAAAATAAAGCTATTTAGGTCCACAGGGGCCTAAGTTCAGACGTCTGATCTCTAAGCAATTTATTATTTACACTAGGTTGTGAATTTCAACTATCTGTAGTTGGAATGCGATACTAACAGCATAATCTGTGTTAAAAGTACCACACAGTACCCAGATGCTTTTGCACATTTTCAAACAAGATCGATAATTTTACTTGTATTTTTAACTAACTGACCTTGCTGCACGAAGGCCCCATAGACGATCCAGATGGCGCTCTGAAGTGAGGTGGAGGTGGGAGGTGGCGGATGGCCCGTGTTGCTGTGACATCTGACTGCTTGGATACGTCGCAGCAGGAAGATCATGATGCCCACTACAGGTATGGCCGCTGCGATGCATGCCCACACGGCCAGGTCGAATGGGGCAAGCAGAGAGAAAATGTTGATCTTTTCCTCGGACTTGCGCATCAGGATTCCCACGGAATAGTCCAGGTAGCGCTTGCTGAAGTCCACCACACTCTCGCGCTCCGGTGTGATGGTGATGGCAGATACGGCCAAGTCAGCTCGCTGTTAAACACCCCCCCCCCCAAAAAAACAGCTGTTTTTGGGTTTTTTTTGCCAAAACTCATGCATTTGACCAGTATTAGTTTGCCATTTCGTGACATTTAGGATGTTTAGCAATTTGGTATGTTTGTGTTTCTGAAACAACTCGGCCTCCAATTGCTTGTTTATTCACTCATATATATATTTTTTTCTGAATACTTTTCTGTACAAAAAAAACAGGAAACAAAACAACTGTTAATTTTTGGACTATTCAGTGCAGGTCATTGTATCAGTTTCTATTTAGGTTGAACTGCAATTTTTGCAGCCAGATGAAGATAGCTTGTGAAGTGATGGTCCGATGCACAGACTCTTCTTCCTAAACTACACAATGAACTAACTTTTAGAAATATAATTTCAGGACAAGCATAGGAATTGCTCTCTTCATGCAATCAAAAAGTACAAACCTTGCCAATGAGTTCTCCAATCATGCCATTCCAGGACCCATTGGGGAGAGCCGAGCCGTACTTCCCATCGCCGACTTGGTAAATATCGTACTTGAAGCCCAGGATCTTGGCGAGGCCGTCCAGGACATCGATGGAAAAGCCTTTGTATCGTTTGGGTTGACCCAGAATGTTTTCTGCCACCATCACAAAAGGTTCCTCCTGTTTTTAAACAGAACAATCTCAGATCCTTTAAAAAGCAGGTTTCAGATGATGTTACGTTCCGGACATATTAATATTGAGAAACATAGTTTAAGGCCGAGTTTCACGCTCAGACTCTGAGAACCAAGGGTGCTTTTACTCAATCACAGACGCGTCATTTATCTCGATGCACACAAATCTAATGGTTGGGATATAGAGCTGCAAGCAGGACACGATCAGTCATCATAAGATGCCTTCATGAAAAGCTTCTGTATGTTCTCCATTAAACTTCATCCTCGTAAAATTGTTTCCTTAGCAACTGTTGATCCATAACAAATGGCGCCATGGCAACTGCTATGGTCCATCAACGGGAAAATTGTCATTTCAAATTTATTGCCCCCCACCCCCCCGCACCCACCCCATGGCTCCCCTTTATGAGTGGAAGTGTCATGGCAGTATTAAATAGGTGGAGCGAAAAGAGCCGAGCGGGGCGGGGCGGGGGAGGGCAACATGGAAAGAGGAGAGGTGTTAAAGTGGGCAGGGGCAAATGACTTGATGAAGTGACACTGCCAGGAGAACGCCGAGCAGAACTTATGTGAATAAATACGGTGGAGGTAAATCATCTGTGAAAAGAGGAAAAATGGAGGGGAGGAGAAATGATTGAGGTAAAGGACGAGGGCAGAGACTCTGTGGTGAAAGAAATGCGGTCTTACTTTTAGAGACGCTGCTGTGCTTTAATCGTTTTCAGATGCATTATATTTCCGAGACAAGTGAAGACTTGTTTTTGCAGCATTGCAAAAAAAAAAAAAAAAAAAAGCATGTGGAGCTGATGCTTGGTGCGCTCGCACACAATGATCTTATTATTATTTGAAATGGGGCATCATCAACACATTTCAATGCACCTTCCTCTAAACTACTGATGACTTTCTAAATGAACGCTTAAGATGTGTGAGCTGCTGGGAGTTTTATTGTTTAACTGTCCTCTTAAAGTATGATTGAAACCGATCTTCAGTGCTTTTAGTGTGTTTCATAATCCTCTGGTGTAAAATTCAACCTCATGCATGTTGGTGCTTACCCTCCTAACTGCATTTTTACTCCATTTGTTGACTTGGGTGGATAGATTCAGTGACTTTTCACAGCTTACCAGTAACGTCACAATCTTGAGCGTCACTCCCTGCATGCCGCTCTCTATCCGGTTCTCCTTGAGGCTTCCGTTCAGGCCGCGAGTGGAGTCCCACGATGCCAGCTACGGGCCGAGAGCAAAGAATCAGATAGGTTAGCAAAATTAACTGTGTAAAAATGGAAATGCAAGTATCCTCTAATGGACAAAGATGCAGATAAATGTTGTGTTAATTATGTTTATTTATTTACGAAGCACATTAAAAAACCGGCAGCCATTACACAAAGAGCTGTCCGTAGAATAGCTGCATGAAGAAAAAAAAAAAAAAAGATCCATCACACACATGTAAGTCAGGAATCAATTTGCAGAAGAAAATTAAAACAATTCTGCTCGCAGTAATTATCCCCACATTATCGACCATCTTTAATTGATAGTGAGTGCTCCATGTTTGTTTACATCAACCCGCTCCCAGCAGTGGAGGGTGATTAACCGGTTCACAAGAAACGGGACCCTCGGTTGTGAAAGGAGTCTGCACCCACTCTTTACGTCTAACTACACAAAGTGTGCAAGACTGTTAAAATAACAGGAGAGCACTTGAGGTTGACTTCATGCTCCCCAAATTAATCTACCACACATCCAGTCTGAGCCTTCGACGTCCCTTTGAGTGCCTTGGGTCCACACAATCCTTTACTTTTTAAACTTCTCATTCCACATGGTCAGCCTCTGGAGCCTTGTCTCCGGTCTTCGAGGCTGATGTTTGTTAAATTCTTAATCAGCGCTGCCGGCTGGACAAGGATTCTCAAGGATTCGACACGTCATTTGGAGTGGCCTTTGATTTGAGCTGACAGAACAAGACTCGTGGCCCAAGGTCAAACCACAGTCCTTTTGGGCTCCAGGAAGCACCGAGCTATTTCTCCCTCCGACTGAAATGACCTACACCATAGTGAGATAGAAAATTTGTCCAAAAAAAAAAAGAAGTTTTTAAAAGTTTTGTTTTTCTAAATGGATAAATTCCCAGGTAAATAGGTGGATTCCAGCTTTTCAATTTGAAGATGTGCTTTGAAATCTATGCGCTTCCTAGAGTTGCATATTGTCAAGGCCAACATACAGTGACAGTAAAGAGAAATCTGGATTAACAGACTGTATGGCTACCACCTGTACTTTAAGCCCTGAAGGATTTGTACCGATCTGAAAATTTGAAGTTCAGAAATCATTAACCTCAAAGAACAAGACCGATTTCATTTGATTAAGCTCGTTTTCATTTGTTAAAAGTGGATTTTTTTATTTTACTCATGTGATTCAATAATAATAAAAAAAAATCTTCAAACATTGCTATCTGTAAGCTTTAGTACGTTCGGCTATTTTAACGATAAAGTGTCTCAATCTCTGCAAAATAGCTCAAGCTAGGCTAGAGGGGATCATTTGCAAGCAGCATTCTTGTTGTAAATTTTCAGTGGATTTTGGTCCGACTTTGGCTGGGCCATTTCTAATCCACTTTCTTAAAGGAAATCATGTACGTTTTAGCTTCTGCTTCAAAATGATGTGGTACTTCGTGTTGCTCTGTCACCACCTTGCATTAAACGTGGCTGTAGAGAAACAAGACATTGGGAATATTGAACGTTATTTTTAGACAGCACAACCCTCAGATAGATGCATTGTATCTTGCATAACTTTCTAATTTGTTCCTTTAGCCAATTAGCACTTGGGACGTGAAAGCTTGGTGTGTTTTTTTTTTTGTTTTTTTTAAAATTGGTTTTCTGTGCTCTTGTCTTATCTCGGTTCAACTTTGAGGGAAGTACACAAGAACAAGTATATCTGTGTCACCAGGAAGATCCGAACAAACAGTCTTGAAATTACAAGCTGTGCATTTGAAAGAAATCACTACTTCTGATACACAAAGCAGCAATAGAGGCATTCAACTGTGAAAGAGAAGCATGTCAGGCAATTGGAGCCTGTCGAAAAACGGAGCTAAAATTTCATTATCAGCCTGTTTTGTCACAACCGATCCGCAGAACTCAGTGCAGTTCATTGCTATGTATAGCTTCACTGCAAACTCATTGATGAAGTGACTCTTGTTAACGGCACACTAGCTAATGAGACATATACATCATTACTGTATATGTCCCCCTACAAAGTGTCACTCAGTAAATGTTTCTTCTAAGCACAGTAATGATGTCAGCTATGTGAAGATTAGTGCATGTGCAGCGTAAGAAGCACTTTGCTGCACGGATGTCAGAGAAATCTTGATGTGAAAGTAGATTGTGAGTCACTTGTGAGTTGTGAGCACACACCTGCTGGTGGGCAGTGTGATGATGTCTGCTTATTCATCTGTGTTGATGTTGACTGATGTGCCAATAAAAATCTGACGTCCACTAGGAAGCCGTTGGTTCTTTGAAAGGTGGCAAACTGAACACTACTTAAAGACCGAACAAACGTGACATCTGACGGTGCCCTGTGTTATGGGGCCACTTAGACATAAGTGATGCAAGTTGGAGTCTTTTCAGATTCCCAGGACTTCCTCTGCCTCAATCAATGTGGTGTTACAAGGTTCATCATTTGTCCTGTTTCTGAATATTTTGTTAATGGCAATTTTTTTTTTTCTCCTGGCAGTCGGGAACTTTGCCATGTTTCAGATTTCAGGTCTTTTTTTTTTTTTCTACAAGTGCTCATAATAATTCTGCCCATCTGTCTACATGACTGTGCTGTCTGTTTGTGTTTCAAAGTGTGCACTGAGGCAAAATGTCAGTGTGCACTGGCTGCCTCACAGGGGGCTATTTTCTCCATGAACAGTTTTGTCCTCTCTGAAAAACACTGAGCAATCCTCGCTCTGTAAACTGAAGAACACTAAAGAGGAACACTTCTACTTCACAGAGCTTTGCTCACCAGCGCGCCACTAGGAAGGTCACAAACAATAAATATGGCAAAGTCACATCACCTGCAATTACACAGGAAATGTATGGCCATTAGTTTTTATTAGGCTAATACTTTGAACATGTTCCGAGGAAAATTCTTCTTCAAAGAGGAACTGGACGTCGGCCTAATTTGAGGAATGATGTACAGTGGTTTGCAAAATTCTCCAATCAAATCTTTCAGGCTTTAGATATATTTGAAATGTGAGGTGAAATTACAAACATAAAGTGATGCATTTAGTGTGTAGGAAAATAAAATAAAAAATGTGGAAAGTGGGAGATGTACATGTGGGCTTCTTCTTTTAGAAAACATTGAGCAAACGGACCAAAGATGACATACAGGAGTGCGTGGAACTAAGCGTACTTTTCTAAAGTTTGACATTTCTGTTTAAATTATCCGTAGCAGCAGAAAATTAGAATTTAGGCATGAAAAGATCCATTTGATTTTCATTATTAAATAATCAATATTATGAGTACAACTGAAAATATAAGCAGTAATTATAATTGCTTGCATGACTGGCTGGGTAGTTTGTTCGCATTAGTTTACACAAGATAGTGACCAATTTAAGCACTTAGCTGAATGTGTTTTACACGACAAATTACTGGTGGTGTTGGATATCTAAATTCATCAGGTTTGAACTGAAACCTAAATAAATTGGCCGAAGGACGCATCAGTGTTTTATTTTATTTTTCCCCCCAAATTGTTTCTGCATTAAGAATGCTGACTGAATTACATATATGCAAATTACTGTATCATCAAACTCCTACTTCTGCTTTCAGTCTGTCACATTCACAGGAAATTTCCCCAGTGAAGAGGAAACAACAAAGAGCAGGTACATCAAATGATGTACATTTAAAATAAACAGTTGCAGGGACATTTTTTTTTTATTATTATTGACAAGGAGCAGATGAAAGAGACTATATTGGCGTTTGTAGAGGTATTTTCCTCAGGCTTAATATTTTTACCTTTTGATGGTAAATGAGCTTTTATGTATCCAGTGGAGTGTCATTTTAGTCTTTTTTTTATTTTTACAAACTCAGACAGCTTAGACTTATGGCCGATATAACTGTAAAGGTGAACTGCTTACATTAATACATATTTTTTTACAGATCTGAGTGAGTTGCCATCTGAAAATATTATTGCTAATACTGTGATTATCCATTGCAATATGACTCTAATATTGTTCACTCACAAGATGTGTTTTAAGGAGCTCACAGTAATTTTTTAATTGAGACGTTAAGCACTACTAAAATAGACTAATTTTGAAAGATTTATGTTTCACTTTGCAGGTGAGTATTTACTTATTATGAATGTAGCAAGTAATTGGAATTGCACCAAAACCTTTAATAAGATGAAAATGAGCCATTGAATAAAAAAAAAACAAACAAAAAAAACAACTTGTTTTTAGTTTTTGTGCACCTGTGGGAGAGATTCCACGCAGCCAAGGGACATTTTAAAAACACTACGGAGCCAGAAAGTGCGTTTATAAAAAGCCACGCTTCCCGGCACTGTGCAAATTAATTGTTGGATCAACACTCCCATCAGCCCCCCGCAGATCTATTGTTGGCAAGAGAGAAGTGCCCTTTGGAGAATATTTAATGTCATTTGTGCTTGATGAGTCAGTGAGGAATTAGTTTGAGCAGTGGCACGAATGTGGCAGCTTTAAACCGCTGCGTCATTTACATGCTGCTTGCAGTGCTGCAAGTTAAAGCTCATGGGGAAACCCTGCATCCATTATCATCAACATCAGCAGTGGCGTCTTGAAGGGTGATGATGGCCAATAAGAAAATTCTGATCCTGATAACCTTGTGACTAATAAACACAAACACTTGATTCATCTTCGGTGTATTAAATACTAGTTGGCTCTCATCAGTGCAGAATGTCTAAATATGCTTATTTTGGGAAGATGGATTTTGCTAGATCAGCTGGGTTGTTTGAGTTTTAAGGCATTAAAAGTAGAATGTTTTTATTGACTTATTATGACAACTGAGCTAAAATTCACCAGCACTTTGGAAGAAAATGCTGTGTTTTTGAGTGAGTTATGTCAAATTTAGAAGTAAAAATGCATATTTTTTCTTTAAGTATAACTGTAAGAAGTAAACTCAAAAATACATTGGAATGGTGAAACAACTAAGGTTGTAAAAAACAGTTAATGCATGTTAGACATCTAGATTAAAAAAAAAAAAAAACCCTCCTGACTCACCTTTAAAATTTTGCCTGTAAATGTTAGATTTTCCACAGGCAACCAAAATAACGATTTAAATGTGTTAAATTCACGATTCAAACGAGGCTGAACAGCCTGGACTGAAGGTGCAACAGTGACGTTATTTACAAAACTAGACAGAGCAGATCGTATTTCTAGAGGAGGAACATAACCAGGCTTTAATAAAGGCTGGTGATGTTCTAGAAACTGCTCAGGAACCTTTGGAGATTATTGTGCAGGGAAGGATTCCTAACATAAAAAAAAAAAATCAAGTCACGACAACGCCGAGCATCCTCTTCATCAGACTAGTATATACAGCAACAACGTATTTTCAAAGGCTCCTTCAGATCTGACGTAATGCCACTACAGAAGAAACTGTAACGGCAGGTTGGAAAGGATTCATTGGGCAAAGATGATTGCCAGACATTTCATTGACAAACGGCGTTTTGACTAAAGTCCAAAGGGTTGGAGTCCCATTTGATGGCGTCTCAACTAAAGTTCTGCAGCTTTTTATTTCTCTTTCTCACTGTTTACGTTTTAATGATGTTTTTTAAATCTCTTTCTCACTGTTTATTACATGCTGTTTTAATTTTAATTATGTAAAGCACTTTGAAATGCCTTGCTGCTGAAATGTGCTATACAAATAAAATTTGATTGATTGATTGATTGATTGATTGATTGATTGATTGATTGATTGATTGATTGATTGATTGATTGATTGACTTCAGCTTATCCAACTGGTAAACCCCAAAGATCAGAGAGAGAGAGACAGAAAGAGACCACAATGACTGGATCGGGGACTCCTGGATTCGATTTTTCTTTTTCAGTGCAAAGATTTAAATGCTGATGCGTCTAGATTTCATTCGAGAAACATCTGAGTATGAGATATAGAATGAGAATTTAATCATTTTTACTTTAAGTGTTAAAAATATGATTTTGTTTAACGACAGTCCCGTTGAAGAAACATTTGAGAAATGATCTATAGCACTATGCATGCCAGCAGGAGCAATTACATTCAAATAAGCCGACTTTTCTCCATGAGAGCTCAATGTAAGCTGGAAGTCATTAGGAATATCTGCTTTAGAGACGAGCTGACACATCAATAAGACCAAACCAGGAAACCAAAACAACAACAACGGTATCGATCACTCTGCATCAGCAGTGGATGGTGCAGAAATCTCACAGTAGCCATTCTGGAAATAGTATTTCAGTCTTCATTACAGTTTCTAACCAGAAAGACGCCTCATCTAAGAGCCATCAGGCCAGGAAGAAAATGGACTGAATGCAGATAAATGATGATGGAGCGGGAGGAAAGCGGGTCTGAAAAATGAGAGTAAAAGGTTAAGAGAGACTAGAGGAGGCGACCACAGAGGAGAGGTGAAAGAGGGGGAGGCCTGGACGTTAGGAAATGTAAAACTAAGAGGGGGACGAAATGATAAATGTGGTGAGGACTTGGCAGGGGCAGCACACTGTGGAATCACAGTTTCAAATAAACAAGAACTTTGGTTCAACCTGCAAAGAATATCCTGCAGTTATATTTCCTTTTAAGTTGTTTTGGAGTAAACAGTACGGTGCGTGTGTACAGCAACTCCACACATTTATGTCTGTTTTCTAGTAGTATAGGGGTTCTGCCCAGTCCTGCAGGTACGCAAACATATCTGGTAATGAACAACAGCACTGACACAGCGCACGCACCTTTCCATTATACCTGCTGCTAATGATCTCCAGAGACATGCACCCAAATGTTGCCATGTTTCCTGCTGCTCCTGCATTTGGCTGTTTGGACGTCCCATGTGTATTAATGGTGCATTTATAAGTGGGCCTCTACTGTTTGCAATGGGCTCTTCGGCTGACTAACGTGGATGTGTCTTCGTTTTTTAATGTAAGTGCGTATCTTGCTTCGTGCTAATGATAATGGCCGTGTTATGATGAATTGGTTTGAATGGCTTTAGTCAGGCTGAGTGGTGATTAAATCTTCATTAATGCTTCTGGTCAGTCCTGCTCTACATAGATTGCCAAGAAACCTGATTCTTCTTCATTCGGGGAGAAGTCCCTGACTGAATCAGGACAAAAAGCGACAAATTACAGTTGATAACGGAGTGCACAAATAACGCTCTCCATCTCTGTTTAGCCACATGGTGAATGCACCGTCAGGGACTTGAGATTTAAAATGAAGGAAGTTTGCAAGTTGTGTGTTTCGTTTATTTTTTTTTGTTTTTTTTTACTTTTGACTTTGAAAACTAAGAGTTGTGTGGTAAATCTAATATACTAGCATCTTTGTGAAGCTCAAAAAGTCCAAAATGGGCTTTCTGACACCTTTAAAGTTAATATTAAGAACAATGAGCAGTAGATGATCCAGACATAGCTATTCTGTGTGTGAATGTTATGGTTCATTCTCAGAAGAATATAATAAAAACCACACATATATTTGCAATTCTGATGCCACTATCACTATCCTAGACTCAACTTCTAAAGCTCTTTTATGTCCAACAAAATGGGTAAAAAAAGAAAAAGTTTGAATAGAAAAAATATAACCTACAATGAAAATGTACCTAATCTAAAGTATATTTGCATGGGTTACTAAGAAATGGCTAGTTGGGTAGTTGTATTGAGACATACAGGCCATTTTCATCAGAAGTTCTCTCAGCACCTTGGACAGCCATGTAAGTCAGCACAAAATTGAATCTAGCCACTAAAAGCCTCCTGAATGGACTTTCATAAGGAAGCTCTAATTGACCTGTCTTCAGCATATTGCACAGACCATACAACCGGGACATGGCACAGACGCTATTCTGTACTGAACTAAAAGCCGTGGCTTTTCTTTGAAACAAATTGCATGAAAGTTATTTCTGACACTCGAGTTGCTGGCTTGCCAAAAGGAAAATATGTTGGAAACTATACAGGGGAGAAAACAGACTGACCCGTTTCACATCTTTCACAAATGTCTCACTGTAGCTGGTCCCAAGGATCTCAAACTGTACGTGGGAATTGGAGCCTTCGGCACGGAAGTCCATCAATCCGGTCAGGCCGCTGATCCGTCCCTGTTGCAACAGAAATAATAATGATAATAATAAAAAGCTGTATTTTTTTGTTTTTTTTTCTAAAGAAGCATGTTGATTTCAGCCTGGAAATAAAACAAAAAGACAAGAATATTAATAAAAAATATGATCTAACAATAGTAATGATATTGATCATTATGTACAACATGACAAACGTACAAATTACAGATTCAACAGAGGTTCAGATTTCCTTCGTTTTATCAACCCCAACATTTGCCTTTAAACATTTGAGCATTGCTTTTGCACATATTTCAACCTTAATGTTTTCTTCATTTTGAATAGGATTCACTCATTTAAAACAAACTATTTTGCCTGAAATTTTTTCACACTTGAAGCTATTTTTACATAAATTTTCCTTTGAGGTCTCTGGCTATTTAAGGCAACAACAATTATGTTTTAGTTCAGATGCAATTATTATTTTTCTATCTATCAAGTCCAAAGATTTTGTTTAATTTTGTGAAAAATTACACTTGCAATTAACTTTATGCACATTTCCTCTGCCTTTTTGTTTTGAAGGGTAAAAAAAATAATTGGTATTGGTTTCATATACATTTCCTCCAAACAGTAGGTGAATATGGATGTATAAAAGAGTTGTACCACACCTGAGTTAATTCAGCTTTTCACTGTGTACAATAACGACACAGCCATGTTTTATATGATTTAGCATAGATGCAACTTCCAACAGAATTTGCTGTGTATAAACTCAAGAAAATCTTATATAAGACACTTAAAAGTTTGTTGGCTGATTTTAGATAATATGAGGCCGCATATTTTGAATTTCGCTTCACTTGGATTTTTCAATAGGGCGAGAGATGCCATGTTGAATCTTTTGGAATAAAATCAATGTGTTACAGAAAAACAAGCATCATTTTAAGATTGCATGTGGTAACAAAGTAACACTATGCTCCCTGCATTGTTTGTTCAGACCTCACTGAGCCATCTGATGTCACATCTAAAATTAAACCAGCACCGACCACTCTGTGCAACAATAATAAAAATACATTATTAGATTGAGGTGGATGAGATCAAACTGCTCTCCGATATTGGGGGCTTTTTTTTCATTGAAAGAACTGAGAAGGCCACATAAATATAACAAGATCAAAGCCCGGAAACTGCCATAAATCCATCCTGAAACCAGGGATAGAGTTTGCATTTAATAATCAGCTTCCTCTGGGCTTTCAAAAAAAAAAATATATATATATATATAAATAATTTCCATGTGCAGGATTGTGCTTCATCTGTTAAAATAGTTTGTTTGATTGTACAAGCACATATTTTCTACTGTATTTCAATGAATCCTATATTTTTAATCAGAAATGTAAAGCTTTTATGAACAATTTATATCTACAATATTGTTTTTTAAGTCAGCTTTATTTGCGCACCACATTTCAGCAACAGGACAGTTTAAAGTGCTTTGCATGTTAAACACATAACAGGGTAATCAATTATATTATGAACAGCAAACAGTGAACAAACATTACATTTAATCAAATACTGTCATCAAACTGATCAAGAGTAATCATCGAATACTGAATAAAGACGAGAATTAATGTTCCAGGCATTATTAATCTAACCAACTCTAGGTAAGTGGGGTTTTTACCCTTGATTTTTTTCCAACTGTTTTGAAGTTTTCTTGAAATTTGTTACACATTAGAGGAGCATAAAAACTGAATGATGCTTCTCCATGTTTGGTTCTGGGGATGCAGAGTCGACAACCAGAAGACCTGAGTTTGCATAAAAGACTTTAAGAAACACTCAAGGAATGTAAAGCTCAAAAAAAGTCAGAAAATAACATCTTTAGAACGTTCAATTAAAATCAAATGTATGAAAGGCTCTACCATAGTCTTTGATACAATTACAAAGACAACACTGCTTGTTACCAAGAAAAGTTTGATTTAAAAAAAAAAAAAAAGGTATTTTACCTTTTGAATGGTGTCCAGCATAGACCATCCTCCGTTCCACGGTTTTGTGGACTTCCTCATGCAGTTTAGACTGGCCATACTGTGCCACTTCCTGTCCTCCAGTTTCCTATAGAAGGCATTCGCCAGCATCAAAACACTATCATACAGGTAGAGATTGGACACCTGTTGGAGAGAAAAAGAAAACAAAAAAAACAACTTCACTTTAAGGAAAATAACTTGGCAGCACAGAAACGATTCAACAAAGAAACTATATTGTAATTTTTTGGGGGTCCCAGAAGACAACCCTTCTGAAGAGCACAAGGTTGAATAGATTTTTTTTTCCAGGTGTACATGAAACATGTCTCCTTACTTGAAAGTTTAGGCAAACTTTTTGTTCTCTTCTTCACAAAACTCAACTCGTCTCCTCTTCCGTGTCTTGTCCACTAATTTTATTTTCAGGATACTCTTCGGTGAGTTGGTGAGATTTAATTGCTGTTCTGCCTTGGAAGGCGATGCTCTTCTTGCACAGTAAGAGGATTTCTTATGATAAAGTAGGAAAAATTTAATGGTATTTTGGAGCGACATGGTTAAATTTACTCCTCATATTGGACTTTAGTATTGCCAATCATTCAACCATTTCCGCCTCATGGACACAGTGGTGGATCCTTCCCGGATTCAGCCCGGGTGTGACAATCGATTTAACACTGAAGGTTTTCTAGGTCAATTCAAAGTAAACTTTCCCTGAGAAAACTATCATTGGGAACAATATTGGCAGCTACCCCTGGCATTCAGTTCGTGACATTCTTAGAGTTCCCACTCCAAGCCTCTCTCATTGGTAGGAAATTCTCCGAATCGGCTTCGCTCGCCTCCAGGTCAGTGAGTCAGGAGCTGAATCCAGGTGAAACTCAGTTCAGTATGTCTCAGGTCACATAAAAGCTACTTAGCTTCCAATGGAGTTTTGAGCTGCCATCTTTTAACCGTTAAACTATTCAGATTAATGATTTTACTGCCATTACCGGATATATTTAACCTCGTTTATGTGAATTATTGAAGACGTTGGGTGCACACACCACATGGTTCGGCCATCTGTATGTTGTGATGATTAACTGTACAATTAGCATTTCAGTAGAGCCATAGGGAAACAGCTATTCCAGTCATGATCGACTGAGTCAAACAAAAATCTTAGAACCGTACAGGAGGAAAGCCAAGCTATTTCAACCCCTTTCAGAAAATACTCCAAGCCTGATCTTGAACACTCACCATCTCTGTGTGATTTCCAGGTGGACTGAAATAAATGACTGTCACAGAATTTTTTTTTTTTCCCAGTAATATTCTTTGTCAGTGGTTAAATTAACATGGTTTGACCTATGCTGGAGAAACATTTAATACCACACTTGAGCTTGTGGCATCTTTCTAATAAATTGATTTTGTGGTGATTTTGACACGAATTTCAGTGGAACATTAATTAAAACAAGCTTCCATAGCATAAGATAGCAATTTACTTAGTTATGCTGGTAATTCCCAAGAAACACTGCTGCAGTAATTTGTATTCATAGGCATCCATGTCTCTCATAATTATCTTGCCAAGGGAGTTTAATATACATTGAGTTGCATACATAATCAGTTCATATTTGCAATTTCCTGACATTCAGCAGCTGCACAGTGTGGCTGAATATTTATACTATATTCTAAACAGAAATCAAAGACAAAAAACATATGGAATTTAATTAGACTTATTCAAGAAATAACCACTGTCATATCAGCTATAGGAGTCGTTTTGGCTACGGAAAAGTGCAATAATTATATAAAAAAAAAAGAAACAACTAATAATTTAGATCAAAATTACTATTAGTAAATTAAAAAATAACTTAGTAATGTAAATACTTTACCAGAACCTAAACTACAAAAATACATTTTTGTCTGATATCAAATTTAGCCCACAGACGGATCTCATTTGCACACACAGTGGAGATGTGGAAGTTAGTGTGAATCAAAAGCAGGTGTTTATTTTAGTTTTGATGAAAAAAGAAAAAAAAAACTTCTAAAACATTAGACAACATAAAATAATATATTAATCTTGTATTTACACCCTTGATAATCCAGAGCAGAATCACTTGTCGTTTAGGATTACAACTATTATCCATAAAACAGGCATAAAGATTCACCATGAAGGACTCCCAAGAAAAGAAAAGACAAGAAATCATTTCAGATATATTAATGTAGTTGTTGTTTCTCTAGTGCATAACATGGGGCTCAGTACTGAAATGAACACGAGTTCATGGTGACGTATTCAGAAGAACAAATGACAAACTTAACACCACCACGGTACTATACTGGACAGAAAGTCATAACTTTTGCTTGACTGGCCTCACTCCTGTAAATCTATAGTAAATGTGTTTTTTTTTCTTTTTCTTAAAATATTGATTGTACGTATTTGTTTATTTAGATTTTACACACACAAAACCAGAGAAGTCCTGTGAGCAATGATGCCTTGCAAAACCACTCACAGTGCTTCATCGTTTTAACTTATTTTTTTTAAGCACCAACTTAAACTTTATTTACTGAGATTTCTATATGATAAATATCCAGAATACATATTGTAACACATACAAAGATTTGAAATTACTAATTCTGTTATGCATTTGTACACACCACCCCTTACTCTGAATCCCGCTGTAAATCGGGTGTTACAGTAGGTCACGTCTGGCACAGCGCTAGAACGGGCGAACCATAGAGATTTCAAACCTTGAACTTGGTTATATGTTATTTGTTGGGAATGTCTGTCCTAAAAATATTTACTCAAGGAGTTATGCTCATACTTTCAGTTTTTAAGCGATGCACAGAATCTCATTAGTTTTATTTACCTCCAGTGACTGCAGGTAGCCTTCCTGCGGATCGCACAGCAGGGATGAAATGCGATGATTGTTCCTCATGCATCGAACATTGGTGTCCCTCCACAGTGGGAAAACCTGACGGATGATTGTCATCCGCCCCAGCGAGCTGTGAATCAACTCCATTATATCCGCATCGCTCACTTCCTGAAGACGAACACAACAGAGACGTTTTATTTTCATTTGATTTCGGTCGAGATCGAAACGACGCTCAGCCTGAGAATGTCAGCCTGGGATTGTTGCACCGTGAGCGGTCATGAAGAAATCTGAATGGGGGACAGACGGTCTTGAAGGATGTTGGCGGTGCTGTCCTCTTCAGCGGCTAGAATTTTAAATGCAGTTCAAGAAGGATGAGTGCATGAGAAAAGCAGGTAAAATAGTGCAAGTGGGTTGAAATATCAACTTGAGAATTTATTTTCTGTACATGCAAATTGAGCAAATAAGATCTAGTGACACCTTTATTCAAACAAAAGAATCCAGATTTATCATATCTACAAGTTAAAGCTAGTAAAACATGAATTTCTTATCCTAACAAAAAAATCTAAATAAAAAAAGCTTACTTCTGGTTCCCTTTTTTTTTTTGAGAGAGAGAGAGAAAGAGAGAGAGAGAGAGAGAGAGAGAGCTGGGGATGTATTGAGGATCAGATCCATATTCATGAGACACAGCCTGTTGCTGCTGCCTGTTATTCTCCAGAGCAGGATGGTGGTCAATGCTGAGGCAGACAGCGAGTCTCATGAGAAACACTGGATTCATATACTACCTGACAAAGCTGTGAGGTTACCGGCGGGTCGAAACTCAAACAGCTAAAGGCTGATATATTCCTGACCACACATCCCTGAGAAAAAAAAAACAAAACACATCCCCTCAATCCTTGTTCATAGTCAGTTGTTTTCATCTCTTTTTTCACTAATCCTTCTGTTTTTACTGCTGGTGTACCGAGACGGTTTAATGTGTTTTCTCCTGGCCTTTGTGATCCCGTGAGAAGAAGCTGACAATATTTAGACAATAGAATGGAAAAATATCACTAATAAGTCATGATGTGAGATGCTGATAGACTCCTAATCAAGATGAATGCTAAAATAGAATCAGAAGGTGCTTTAACGTAGTCGGATGTTGTTGGTGCAAATGGATTTGTAATTACCTTTTCAGTGCATTTTCAGCTGAATTTGTACAGTAAAAATGTTACATGAAGACAAATTTAGTTTTTTTAATTTTTTACATCACATATTCTGGCACTTCAGCATTGTGTGAGACAATTTTTTTGTGCACATTAGTTTTCTTAACCAGATTTAAGTAGTGGAATCCGTTTCCTACATTGTTCCAACTTACTGTGTTTAAAGCGTTTTTTTTATTTACCTTTAACGTTTGCCTTTTTCTGATTGATATGTGAAAAAAAAAAAAAGTTTTTCTTAATTTATTTCATTGTTGTCATCACTGCACAGTGTGAGGTAAAGACTCCTCGGGTGTTTTTTTTTTTTTTGCTCATCTATTATTTTCCTCTGGCTCTTTCTGACTCTTTGAGACCAGTCAGGTGGAAAGCATGAATATTCATGAGTTGCTGCGACACATTAATCAGACAAATTATGTCGCTTGGCTCACCGAGCTGAACCCTATGTCCAAGTTAATAACTGATGGTGCCACCCAGTCCAAGTGTTCTGTCATAATCCCAGGTGACACTCATATCAGAACCTGACCCAGCAGTAAAACTGACCAGCAGGATCCGGACCTGAAACATGGAACTTTTATCCTGTGTGTGGGGAAAAAAAACAACAAAAAAAAAACAGACCTATACTGTAGTGTTTAATATCTAACTTATCTGGAAAAGTGTTTTCAAAACAGTCATAAGGTGCAAAGATGCACACTTTGTCTTGCAAGTCAGTGTAACTACTTTATGGATCACTAATCAAACTGCACTGTAAAAGATTTTAAAAAGACCACGAGTAAAATCACAATATTGTTTTTGACAGATGCAGATCACACACAAACCGCCGCTGAAATCTACAATTATCACATAATTACGTCAGTCGAGTAGCTTAGATTGCCGAGAGCACCAATGCAGCACAATCATGTCTCAATGACAGCTGATGACCAAAATACATTAATCTAATCAAGTTTGGCTGACAGACAGGCTAAGTTAGCCTCTCTGTGCTGCTTATTGCATGTTATTAATCTTTTATGAGCAATAAAGGTTTTTTTTTTCCTTACCCGTAATTATGACAGTCATTTAATTAGAAGCTATGTTGGTTTTTGAAACGGCACACAGCTGAGCTGAGAGGGAGTGGGTGTTAATGAACAACAAAGCTCTGTGGGTATAAGGCTTTAGCTTGACTTTCTCTTGGATACTTTCATCCAACAGAAGGGTTTGGATGTGACTACCGTTAACCAAAAACCTGCTGAAATAACCACTGACATGGGGCAATGTGCTAAACTTTTTATCATCAGGACAATCGTTTTCCATGTGGACACAATCACTTGAATATGGAAATGAGAATTTTCTGTTGCAACACACAGCAGAAATGACACATTCCTGTAAATTTTGAATGATTGCTTTTAGTTTCTGTTTCATTCATTGAACAGAGCATATTTAAGGAAACCTATCACTGCATTAGCTTCTTTTCAAATCACCATGGTAACACTTCGGCTGAATCAATTTGTCTAGATAGCAGGGAGTTAATTTATTCCAGTCATTAAGACTCGTAGATTCTTCACACACTCATAAGTTTGAATCATTTTAGTGGCAAGAAAGTACAGTTTAGACTAACACCTCAGTTGTGTGTTAGCTGAGTAAGCCATGGTTGATTTGACTGTAAACAGTTGAAAATAGTCAATACAAGGTTATTGAGCAGTAAATAGTATTAGTTTTCTCTCCATGTTTTTTAATAGTTCACACACCAAATTTAGCTTAGAATGCATTAATGCATATGTTGGAAATTATTCTAGCACTACCAACGAAGCTAATATTTGCAATAAATATCTTCTAAATATCACATCAGATTGGTTTTAGGTGATGTTCTAGCTCCTTAAATTTTTTAGATATAGCTAAAGCATGACTGTATTTGTATGCATCCTCAAGGAAGCAGGCTTCCTGAAGTCATCTTTACTTGTGTGTTCATTTGTTCTTGAGACCAGGTAAATTCAAAGCAATTTGTGTGAAACAAATATTTCATAATTCATATGTCACAGCTGTTCTGTGTTTTGCTGGTGTTTACAGCAGATACACTTGAGGAGAAGGCAACAGGCTTCCCTACTAATTTTAAGGACAATTTCAGTGGAGATACAAATATGGTAATTTAAGGCTATGACCTGCTGAACTTTTGACTTGTTAACTTAAATGAACCGTGTGAAATGTGGCTAAGCTGCCTAGGGAATCCCAGTCTGGAAAGTTGTTTTTCTTCTTTTTTAATTTTTGTTCCACATAAAACCACCACCAACTGGTTTAATATTTGCATTTATATTGGTGGAACATTACTACAGGACAGGGTTGTCACTTCAAGCTTAAAACCGATACTAAGAAAAGAAAAAAGTACTTAATACTGTTTCATATGGTGGCAACATATTTTAGAGTAGTTGAGAGCAAAATTTGTAATTACAATATGCATTAGGGTATGCATATTGCCTCTTTAATTAGAGCAAAACCAATATGTGTGGGAGAATTCAGTCCTCTCCTTAAAAAACAATTTAAATTGTTTTTTAATTGTTTTACTCCCTGTTTGGCAAAAAAGTTAGCAGTATTCAGATCCCTTATGGAAGTTTGTACTTTTCATTCAGTCCTAATGTTTTTTTTGTTTTTTTTTTTTAATTTTATTTATTTATTTATTTATTTTTGCTTTACTATGAATGATTTTCTTTAGTGTGTCACTGGGTGTTTGCTTTTGCCTTGAAATTTGTTGTTGTTACAAATACATTTTAACACAAAGAGACGAAGGATCATTCAATACCAAAATAAATAAATTCAAACAAGCATGGATCCGACACACAAAATATATATTCTTGAAAGTCTGCACAAGGATCTGGTCCGTGCAAATGTATTCATCATCGGTGCTGAATAATTTATGGATTTCTGATAATCTTGCATGACATTTTCAAGTGTTAAGCTACAGCAGTACGGTTAGTTGCTACGATTGTCTGCTTTTTTCTGTCTGGCCTCACCACAACCTCCACATTAGCCTCTAGTGTCTTAGCAACTACACTGAGCAGGAATGCAGAATGTTGCAGAAGTGCAACATTTTTGACAAATGTAAATGGATCGGTTTGTATTGATAATGATGGAAAAAAGTACATTTGAATTATTCAATTTTTTAGTAGCAGTTATTACTTACTACAAGGAGAACTATCTTGTCAGAAAGACATATTGGTGTTTATACCATCAGCACTCAGGTGACTTTACATAAGGGTTACTAAGTTTACTTTATAGAAATATGAATTACTAAAACGAAGCCATGCTTGCTTCAAAAGAACATCCAACTTTATTTGAGCATCCGAAAGGCATACTAGTTATTAAAGACTACTGAAAGCAAATATCTGAAGAAAATGCAAAATTAGGTTTTGCAACTGCAAACATTTACATTTTGTTCATAACTTTTAGAAATAGTAATATACTTTTAAATCAGCCCATTCAGCCATCAAGTCTGCCTAACTAACCAAATCGATGTATTTTTATTCACCAACTTTATTTTTTTACGATCAAAACGTCGATGCTAGTTGAAAAAAATATTCCAATGTTACAAGGTCTTTGTAGAAAACATAAGAACGTAAAGCACCTTTGTTGCACTTTATTTTCAGTGTCAGAAAAATAGGCAGGATGTTTGAACAAAGCTGATGTCCTTTTGAGCCAACAGCAAGTCCCTAACAATTTGTAGAGGTCAGACTGTCTAGGCATGTTAGGAAGGAACAAGTGCTCTTGTACAAACGCCACTCTCAACAAAAATGCAGTTGCAGTTTCACTGGTTTTGTAACACTGACTTTTTTTTTCTTTTTTCTTGTCTTTCCAAATAGACAAATCTGTTGTCTTTATTTTTCTAAGAAAATGATCAAAAACAAACTGGGGTAGCTTTATTTCCAAAGTCTGAGTTTTGTGTTGGGACTCAATATGAAAAGAGCTTAAAATTACAAATTTTCTAAAATAGGTGTAAACGTTTTTGTGTTA